GAACCAACAGACACAAAAGGTCTAAATTTCTCCCTGATTACATCAGCCTTTACATCAGTGGCCATATCAACAACATCGGGCGATCTGGTGAAACCACGTCCATATCTGAACACAAACGCACTGAGTGTTGCCTTCTTTTCTTTTTTCATTTTCAAACACCAACAATCGGACATAACATGACCAGATTTTTTACCAAAATGACAGACAGGCTTTGATTGTTTTAAAGAAGTTTTATCCTGACTGTCAGAAGATTACGAACCAGAGAAGCTGGATTTTTTGAAGGATCCTCAACTTTAGTGGATTGAACAGATACAGGTTTTATTTGAGATGGTAAGAATTTATTTTTATGAAAAGTGGTTTTATGTGTTAAAGTGTAGTCATCGGAAAGAGCGGCTGCTTCCTGTAGTATTTCAACTTTCTTTTCATCCAAGTAAGTTTTGAGGTCGTCACGTGCACAAAGTTTAAATTCCTCAATTAGGTACAATTGTCTTAGTTTGTCGAAACTGTTGCCAATATGCATAGAATTGCACCATCGATCAAAATAAACCTCTTTTTCGTGGGCGAATTCCATATAAGTTTGATTATCTTGTTTGCGATAACCTCTAAACTTTGGGCGATAAGTCTGCAGTACTAACTCGTATGCTTTGAGAATAGCTGCTTTAACCTTATCATAATTTGTAAAGTCTTCTAAAGAGAGAGCGGCATGAGCTTCTTGTGTTTTACCAGTTAAGACACTTTGTAATAATAATGACCATTTTGCGGTAGGCCATTCCATAGTTTGGGCACCTTCTCAAAATGTTGGAAACATTTATCAGCTTCATTTTCATTGAACGGTAGTACTTTAACATATCGATTAAATTCAAAGTTGTTATTTTGCCTTGGTCGATCAGTGTTGAGTCTAATTTCCATTTCTTTCAGCCTAATTTCTTTTTCGGCTTCAATGCGAGCTTTTTCGGCCTGGAGACGTTTATTTTCTCTTTCAGCTTCAATACGATCTTGTTCTTTATCTTTCTCGGCTTCGATTCGAGCCTGTTCAAGCTCGAGTTGTTTCAATTTTAGCTGGATCTCTAATTTATCATTATCACTCAACCCCGATTGGCTAGTAAGGACACTAGAGTATTTCTCTAATGCTTCCTCAGGCAACAAAACATCATCGACTAGTATTGATAATACGCTTTTTTAGTTCATTTTTTTCTCATTGATCTTTTAACTT